GCAAGGAGTGAGAGTGAGTGAGTAAGCGCATTTTTCGCTTGCGCACGCCCTTTTAAAGCCTGGGGGTGGTTGGGAGGAAAATCCCTCTTTCAGTCCCTCAAAATTTGGGAAGAGTGGAAATGCCAGTAAATTTTAATTGGCTGACTGAGATTTTCCCTCTTTTTCTCTTTCGGTTTTCGGGCCCTAATTGGTTCAGGGGCGTGGTGAGAATTGGGGGCGTGCGTTCAAGAGTATGGGCCCTATCTCGTTAGATGGCTCTCCAAGTACCATTTTCATTACAGATTTTCTTATAATTATTAATTTATTTGTTTGTAAATTGTTACAATTAATTCTTAATAATAACGCAAGTTTCTTAATATCTAACATATTTTACGCGAAAATCTCTAATCCTACATGTTTACAATTAGTAACTTAAATAATTAACTAAATTCGTTGTTTAAATAATATGGAATGAAAAAGGGGCATTATTTAATTGTGGACTATATAATTGATTTACTAAAGTTCATTCAGGTAACTGTTTTTCGACTATTTACTAATTTCCTAACTTATAATTTCAAAACTTTGGGATATTTTCGATGATTGTGCGGTAACTACGTTTCTAATCAAAAAGTGTGCGGGAGGTTTCAAGAAGCTGCGAAATTCTCCTATCATGCTATTATTTTATTAATTCATTTATACAAAAATAATTATTAAATTTTTTCTATATAGCAAAAGTTTTAGCTTCTAAAAGTGGAAAACTTTTGGGTGAAATCGTGTAACATGATGTAGGCAGAATTCCGCGGCTCCTTTACTCTTTAGGGGGGGGGGGCGGCGTTTGGCGTAAGGAGAGATGATTGATGTTCTGGTGCGAAGGTTGGAATGACTTATTATGACCCACTGGTACTGTGTAAATATTACTTTAATGTTGAGTTACAGAAATGAGTGTACTATACGCAGACGAGCTCTACAGAGTAACGCGAGGTAAGCGCACGCGTACAAAGTGAGTGTAGCGAGGCGAGGAGTTGGCGATGCTCACTCGTCGAGGCGTCGCGTCCTTCTGGTCATTCACGGGGTTGCACGGATGTACCACCTAGCCAGGCTTTTGCTTCCCCACTCTCTCCGAGAACACTCAATGCTTTTATTCGTCGGAGAGGGTAAAGAGAAAGCGGAAATCTGATGGCCAACAAAAAATGCGCGCGCGGGCCTGCTATAAAAAAAAATCCAGGCGAAAAAGTTCGGCTGTTTGCACTACGTGTTCCATGAGCTGATCGCTTGTCGGACACCATAAATAATAAATCGTAAATCAACTGAGAAGTTGACTTACGATTTATCGGAAAAACTGAGAGAAGGGTTGAGGAACATGTGTGGTGCAGATTTTGGACAAGTCTGCGACCCCACAGTACCCCCTTGCCAGTGATGAAGTCACGGAAAGAAAGTACAAACAGTGACGACAAACGCGTGACCATGAACGATTCTTATAACACCGTAATACTAGCTGAAACCAGCTTGATAGCGCTCTGCGAAACGTACACGTCTCCCTGATCTCCGGGTTATTTCTCGGTCTGACGTCCTCTCGTTCTGGACACCTTCCTCTGGACTCGCTGGCCTCGTGGCTGGTGTTGACTGGGTCGCTGGTGCTTGCGTTATTGCTGGTCGCTCGTCCGGACTATCATCTGCGATGGTATATGCCGGCTTCAATCGATCTATGCTGACGGTGACATCCTTGCCATTTACGTTGACTACAAATGTCTTATCGCTGCGGCTCACAACCGGATACGGTCCATGATATGGCATGACCAGAGAGTTTTTTATGGCGTCATGCCGTAATAAAACACTCTTGGTCGTCGCCAAGTCCTTAAACACGAAGATCTTGGGCGTTCCATGGCGCGTGACTTCAGATGGTCGTAGATGCTGCATTTGTTGACGTAATTCTTTCGAAAAGTCAACTTGATCATTGTCCGGGCGGTCTATGGGTCCCAAGAATTCGCCCGGCAATCGGAGAGGTTCGCCGTATACCAGCTCTGCGGAGGTCGCCTGCAAATCGTCCTTCCAGGCAGCTCGGATACCTAGGAGTACCGTCGGGAGAATCCGTGTCCACTGGTTATCCTGGTGGCATCGTATTACGGCCTTCAGCTGACGGTGTAGGCGCTCTACCATGCCATTCGCTTGCGGGTGATACGCAGTCGTCCGCAACTGAGTAGTACCTGTAAGTCGGCTTAGCGACTTAAACAGACACGACTCGAATTGGCGGCCTTGGTCGGTCGTCACGCGCAACGGTGTTCCAAAACGGCAGATCCAGCCGGAGGAATGCTCGTGCTACGGTCTCGGCCTCCTGATCGGGCAGCGGGAACGCTTCGGGCCAGCGCGTGTACCGATCCACGCACGTAAGGCAGTACCGCTGACCCTCTGATGATGGCAGAACGACGACATCGATGTGCACCTGCTGGAACCTGGCTGATGGTAGCTTGAACTCTCCTACCGGCGATGCGACGTGCCGCGAGACCTTGGACTTTTGGCACTGGATGCACGCTTGTGCCCATGACCGACAGTCCGCCTTGATCGACGGCCACACAAAGCGTTGCGTCATTAGTTTGACGGTCGCCTTAATACCTGGATAAGCTAGATTATGCACGGAGTGGAAGGCTGCCTTGCGGAAGGGCGTCGTGGCGAAAGAACGTGCAGTGTTTGTCGAGACGTCGTACAGAATTCGTGTATCAGTGCCTGGAAGCGGTACCAATTTGAGCTCGAGGCTGTGATCCGTGGCCCTTATATCCTGGAGCTCGGTGTCCTCCCGTTGTGCCTCGGCCAGCCTGTCGTAATCCAGCTGTGAGGTTACCATTTCGATGCGAGACAGCGCGTCGGCTACGACGTTGTCCTTCCCAGATACGTGCCTGATGTCCGTTGAAAACTGACCGATGTAGTCTAAATGGCGTGCCTGCCTTGGTGACTCCTTCTCTGACCTCTGCTTGAAAGCAAATATTAGTGGCTTGTGATCCGTATATATGACGAAGGGACGAGCCTCTACCATGTGGCGGAAATACTTGATGGCCAGGTAGATGGCTAGTAACTCGCGATCGAACGCGCTGTAGCGGGTTTGCGTCGGGCTCAGTTTCTTGGAAAAGAAACCCAACGGCTCCCACCGATCGTCCACTCTCTGCTGCAGGGCTGCACCAACCGCCGTGTCCGAGGCGTCGCACACTAAGGCTAGCTGAGCACCAATTTTTGGATGCGTTAGAAGCGTGGCTCTCTCGAGATCGGCCTTGGTCTTCTCAAAGGCCTTTGTTGCCGCGTCGGTCCATGTAATGGGCTGGTTTCCCTTGATGTTTCCCTTAAGCAGTTCGTTTATCGGCGCCTGCATCTCCGCTGCGTTCGGCAGTAGGCCGCGGTAAAAGTTGACCGTACCTAGAAAACGTTTCAGCTGCTTTGCTGTCTGCGGCTGTGTATACCTGCTGATCGCCTCGGTTTTCCGGGTCGTTGGTCTGATGCCTCCGCTCGTCACTACGTAGCTGAGGAACTCGACTTCTGGCTCGCCGAATACGCATTTCACCGGGTTAATGACGATTCCGTATTGCTGAAGCCGCTGGAACAGCTGCAGCAGGTGGTCGTGATGCTGCTCCTCGTCGGACGCTACGAGTATGTCGTCGATGTATGCGTAGCAAAAACGCAGCTCTCGCAACATCTCATCGACGAATCGTTGGAACGTCTGGGCCGCGTTTCGCAATCCAAAACTCATGAATGGGAATTCAAAGAGTCCGAATGGCGTGGTAATTGCGGTCTTTGCTATGTCCCTCTCGGCGACTGGTATCTGGTTGTACACCCGGACTAAGTCGATCTTGGAAAAGATCTTCTTACCTCGGAACGATTGAGCAAAATCCCGGATATGTGGTACAGGATAGCAGTCCGGTACCGTGCGTGCGTTGAGGCCTCGATAATCACCGCACGGGCGTTGATCGTCTTCCCCTTTCGGCGCCATATGGAGTGGTGCTGCCCAACTGCCGTTTCCGCGTCGAGCCGTACCAAGCTGCACCATTATGTCGAATTTTTGGCGCGCCCTCTGTAGGCGTCCGGGGGATAGTCTTCGAGGCCTGCATGTTACTGGTGGTCCTGGCGTCGTCTCAATGTAGTGGCGCGTGGTGTGCTTGGTCACCGGCGCTCTGCCGTCAGGTCGAGTGATTTCTGGATACTTGGCTAACAACTGGTGATAGCTCGAAGTGCCGGTAATCACTTTGACGCTGGGGCACTCGTCTGCACGCAGTTGTCCGCGCGCAGAGGCCTGTGTCTCCCGGTCGATCAGCTGGCACCGTGTAGATCGACGAGTAGCCCGTAGTGTGCCAAAAAATCAGCGCCGATAATGGCCTTCGGGACATCAGCGATCACGAACTTCCACACGAGCGAGCGCCTTAATCCGAGGTTGAGCGCTAGTGTGGTGGTGCCGTACGTGTAAATGGGCGTTCCATTTGCAGCAGCTAGTTCGTACGGCGTCTTCCGGAGTGGACTGCGGATAGCCGAGCGCGGATAGACGCACAAGTCAGCACCTGTATCTATCAGGTATCTGACCTGGCTCTCTCGATCTGTGATGAAGAAGCGGCGTGTCGTTGGACTGGGACCGCTCGCCGCCATTAGCGCGGGTCCGTCCCGTTTCCCGCGAACGTACAGGGATGTCGGCATCGTGTTGCGTCGGCACCGAACCTTTGATGGTACCAGCAGTGGTCTGGATTCCCTGTCCTTCCGCGTGACTGGGATCGGCCTCGAGGTGTAGCTCGTCCTCTGCTCTGCGACCTCGAACGGTGCGCGCGTTCTGCAAGGAGGCTGCGGCGCACCTCGGCGATCTCTTGGCGCATCTCCGCATTCATTGAGCACACTTGCATGAACATAGTCTCTAAAGATGACGGCTGTGCCGGTGTTGGTAGAGACGCGGGAGCGACCGCCGCTACCTGAGGAGTGATGAGCGGCTGTGTCGCGCGTACCGTCACCATGATAGCGTCAGCGAGCAAGGCGGTCTCGTCCAGCGGTTTGTTGGGCTAGGCCGCCAATATCGCCTGCACGTGGGCTGGTAAGTGGCTCAGCCACAACGTTTTGACGACGTTGTCGCCCTCGTTGCCCGCGAGATCTCGTAAATGCCGAAGAAATTGAGAGGGTTTTCGATCGCCCAATACCTGTGTTTCCAGGAGCTTCCTCGTCTTCTCCTCCTGAGAGACGTTTAGCCGCTTGAGAAATTCGACCTTCGTCTTGGTGTACGGTTCTCCGGCTGGTGGTGTGGCGATAAGATCCCTGATCTCCGACGCGTACCTCATGTCCAAGTTGCTGCATAAATGGCTGTACTTCGTTGCTTCCGTCGTTATTCCGGAGGCATCGAAGTTCCTTTCCAGCACATTGAACCACAGCTCGGGGTCCGCTGGCAGAAAGGGTGGTACCCGAAATGCGACGCGGGCAATGGATGGTGCTGTCTCATTGGTCGCTGCAGTTGTTGCGAGAGTTGTCTGGCCCGTCATCTTCCTTGCTTCAAGATAAGCTGCTGGTTGGTCACTTAACACGGTTTTTTTTTCACTCGCGTTTATTCGTCTCCCCAGTTTGATACACTGGTGTGTAGAAACACGTTGCTTTACACTACCAGATCACGTCGGGGTCACCAATTTAGGGGGGGGGGGCGGCGTTTGGCGTAAGGAGAGATGATTGATGTTCTGGTGCGAAGGTTGGAATGACTTATTATGACCCACTGGTACTGTGTAAATATTACTTTAATGTTGAGTTACAGAAATGAATGTACTATACGCAGACGAACTCTACAGAGTAACGCGAGGTAAGCGCACGCGTACAAAGTGAGTGTAGCGAGGCGAGGAGTTGGCGATGCTCACTCGTCGAGGCGTCGCGTCCTTCTGGTCATTCACGGGGTTGCACGGATGCACCACCTAGCCAGACTTTTGCTTCCCCACTCTCTCCGAGAACACTCAATGCTTTTATTCGTTGGAGAGGGAAAAGAGAAAGCGGAAATCTGATGGCCAATAAAAAATGCGCGCGCGGGCCTACTATAAAAAAAAAACCCAGCCGAAAAAGTTCGGCTGTTTGCACTACGTGTTCCATGAGCTGATCGCTTGTCGGACACCATAAATAATAAATCGTAAATCAACTAAGAAGTTGACTTACGATTTATCGGAAAAACTGAGAGAAGGGTTGAGGAATATGTGCGGTGCAGATTTTGGAAAAGTCTGCGACCCCACAACTCTATATCTAAACCTACTCAAAAAAAACTTTACGATCTTTCGGATTAAAATTCGGAAAGCGCGCGACAAAGGGACGGGTATTTTCACGTGTCCTCCAGCCGTTTCAGCTGAATGCTCTCCCTTTGCTCATTCACGGAGTTAAAATTTAAGTTACGTATTGAACACGCAAAAGCACACGAGAAAAAAAAAATTAATTTTATTGATAGTAAACGGCCCGACGTTACACTTGTGAGCTATATTTATATATCTCATAACTTCTTATCAGTTTAAAATCCAATTGACAAGTTTTTCACGCACATATTTTTCTCGTGTGATAATAGTATGAATGAAAATTAAGCAAAACTATTCTAAAGCAGTTTGTTTTTAATTAGAATTGTTGAATTGTAGTCGTAAAATTACAATTAAAGTGGTCTTGTTAATAAAAAATCTTACTTTAAAAATATATAACTAAGAAACCCGTTTTTACATTATTAAAATTTACATGTTCGATTGTTTAATATTTTATGTTTGTACTTTATTGTTTAAATTTATAATTATGGGTTTACAAATGGCTAAATGATAAATTTTTATACTTTTGTGTTTTTATTTATATTCTATCTACGTTTTTTTATTATTTTAGGAAACTGTACCTGAGACTGCTCGTTTACTTTTTAATCGCTTATTATACAAAAAACGAACAAATAAATGATAAAAGGATGATGAAATACGACAATAACAGATCCACTGTTAACTTAAAAATATCTCGATGTCAATTCTACAGACGCGAGTCTATTAAATTGACTACACTGATGTTGAGTCAAGATCATACGGTATTTCAAATCTACAGGAGTGAGGATGTTAAATTGATTACTACTTTGTTGTTAATTCAAGATTATCCGTTATGTCAATTTTACACAGGCAAATGTTACATCAATTGCCATTTTATAGATTGAATCAACATAGAAAACGAAAAATCTCATAAAAATTTTTTCTGCATTTTCCTCTTCAATTACAATTACTACATGTACCTTATTTACTTTAGAAAGATATTCTATTTTTATACATTATTAGCATATTTTAGGGATTACAAATTATAATTTATATGTTATTGGTTATCGCAGGTAATTTAATTCGCACGCAAATCGCTAATACAAGTTAGTATGTTTTCGCAACGATGACTCACAATTCGCCATGATTCGCTTTATTCTAGAGTCTAAAATGTCCTTATATATACTAATCGGACGATTTCCTAGCCACTTGCGAGTAACAAACAGCTACCTAGGTGAATATAATGAAAACTAACATTCAAATAAAAGTTTTATGTTCGGAACAGTGGAGAGACGATATCAATAAATATAGGAGAAAAGAAAAATTTCATTTTTATTTTAATTTTGATCTTTATTATACATATTTCTATTACATATCGTAAGTAACATAATGTTTCGAATTACATGTTTGAAAATTATAAATATTTATATTGGGCATAGTTTTATATGAAATAATACCATAGTGGTGAGTGCTTTCAACTTCGTAGGCACATAAATGATTTGAATACGTAATATTTTTCAAATTATCATATAAAAACATAACATCATTGGTTTGTTTCTTTATCAAAATATCAAGTACTTTTCCAAATTGTACGATCTCCTTACAAACATTCGTTATTACAATAGATCCATTCGAATATTTCTTTCCAAATATCGAGATCCACGATATAGGCACATAGTCAGAAACTATATCAGGTGGTAATATTAATTTATATAAATTATAGTTACTTAAAAATATGACGCTATGGAATAATTGTTTGCCGTATTCAATTTTACTTTGAAAGCCTTCGTTAACTAAGAAATGATAATTTAATTCAATTTGGTTTCTTATGGCCAACGTTTTTGCGGAACTGACTCGCGATGTAGTTGATTTGGCTATGTTTTTTAGTGGTCTGTGTTTACCTTCCAAACGCATGCATGAAAATTGGGAAGGTAAACCTAATATCTTGATCATTCTCGCATAATGTAGCATATGGTGATGTTTTGGCTTGAGACGTTTATGCAAAATTTTATAATATAGTGAGTGGTGATTTTCAATTTCTTTTTGTAATATAGAAATAGTTTGGTTATTAAGCAATGGAGCAAATATCAAAAACGTTATTTTTCTCAATGACAAATAGATTTTCCATACTCTATTATTTTTAGGAATCAAATCGCCAATCAAAAACGTTAAGTTAAACAATAAAAACTTCATTTCTGACGCACTATAACTATGTTTTTCTTTTTAATATGATCCGCATTCACTTCAATCAAATTATTCCTCGCATCATGATTTGTGTAATGTTGTATTCGATTTTGGAACGTACTTAATGTAAATAGTTTGTCGATAAATATGAATTGATGAAAAATTTCTCCTAGTTCAATTCTACATACGCCTTCTAAAATATCATGCATAGGATCAAACATTACGCTTTCAAAAATATCTAATCCCGGAATGCTACTAAATACAGTACCGTTTTTCACACCATTACATTTTTCTGCAATATCTGCTTTATGCTTAACAGAATTACGCACTAACTTGGTATTTTCTTTGAAGCTTTTTTGGCAATTTTTTTTTCCATATAACACATTCTGCATGGAAAGTTTGAATTAAAACTTTCATGAAACCCTAATAAAGTATGCAACTCTAAATTATCTCCGCTGAGATTAAACAAATCGAAATAAACAGTCAATGTTTTATCACTAACAGTTATATCGATACCATTATTTTGCAAATCGATAAGTTGCTGTATAACTCCATTAAACAACTTTGAGTGCACAACAATTGTTTTGTATTGTGATTTACAGATCTGTATTAAAAAAATGTTTTCTAATTGACTACTATAAGCAGGTGGCATTGCAGTGATACTACAATATAAACTATGCAATTTACTAGAACCTTTTCGTGATCCGAGAGGGTTGTTGATTTCGAAATCATCACCATATAAAGTTAATGGTAAAACTACTTTTCCAGCAAATCGGCTTTTTATATTAACCCATCTCTCGCTTTGGAAAATTGAACAGATACAACTGCATTTTTCTTTACATTCAATGTATTCCAAAATGGAAGAATACACATATGGTAGTTCCAAAAAATTTTTTAAGACTTTTTTAATCGGTACGCTGGTGATTGAGATTTTTACTAATGTATACTTTTTTTTTTAGCTACCATTTTTGGCCTTAAAATATTAGCAACGTGTATACTTATTGGTTCGATATAAAACAACGATTTCAATGACTTCAATACTTTATAGTAACTAGAATAATTTTCAAATACGTTCTTCATCACATTAATTATCCGATCGAGAGCATTGCAATGCAAAGTTTTACTATTTAGCGCTTGAAGTTTTTCAACAAAACAAATTTTATAAAAATGTTGAAAGGCTCTCATTATCAATATAATCATGGTAATAGGCAAACTCCATTTCGCGTATAAATTAGACATGAGTATGTCAGTTTGCTTGGCAACTTCGGTTTCATAATTTATTTCTTTTATTTTTTCATCATTCTTCGTAATATTTAATTGCTCTAATACATTTACTGATTGTAAAACTATTCTTATGTCTAGAGGTAAATCATTTTCAAACATTGCGGACTCTATAGTATTTTGATAAGCAAATTCTTGTGATGATTTACGTTTTATTGGAGATTTAAGTTGCGTACTGATAAAATGAAATTTACTATGTATAATAAACGCCGATATGTTAGTAAAAGTTCTATTACATTTATCCGATTTGTAATTTAAAATAGAAGAACCTTTATGGAAAACTCTTAAATGCTGTGCAAAAGTTTCAACAACGTCAAACAGATTTTCACATAAAGGACATTTTACCGATGCCATGTTAATTAAATATTTTTACATATAAATCTAAATAATAATTTATAATAAAATATTTATGTTTTGCAAATTTAAGAGATAGATAATATTTGAAATTTAGCTTCTGTAAAATTGACAAATTTGACTAGACATTTGTTAATATATTTCAAATCGTATCCGAGCTTGGTAAAGGCAGATTAATATCATCAAGAAGTTCTTTAATATTTAACGCTACCGGATCCCAACGTGTGCCAAATCGATAAATACTGTGTTGCAGCAAAAGCCATAAATGGTGACTTTGCGACGGATACTCGGCACAAAAAACGTGAAATGCTTTGAAGCAGAGATCTATAGCTTCGAGCAAAGTAGGTATCTTGTATTCGTTGTTGTCTATCATAACATAAACAGAGTCGATTTGGAAGTCTTCCTCACCGATTGTAATTACGTAC